TAGTTAGCATAAATCAGTTAAATGACGAAAAATTAGTTGTCTATTTACTTGTGACCACTCAGTGTATATTAGACACGTTTTAAGGACGGTGAAAACAGTCTTTATTAAAACACAGCAAAGAAGTGTGTATACCTGCATAGTACAAGTGGATGATTCCCTCTACTGGATCAGTGGCTAACTCTTCAAGTTTTCCTGCGAAAAAAACCCACAGAAAACCAGATTTCATGCCTATACAAAACTACCGGTTTCTTTGTCTTGTGATGGCGTCACCAAGTAACTGATCACTCTCTCTTAACATTTACAATCTTATACATAGCAATGTCGTCTTCTCAGTCAACAGGAAATAGCATTTGATATGAAAAATGGAAAGAAAGACAAGGGGTCACAATGTTCGAACCGAATAATTTCAACGGTTCTCTGGACCAGTGTTTTCATACCAAAACTGCAAAGAAATAAAATACGTGAGAACTAAATCACTAGAGATGGTGGAAAAGTCAGTGATATACTTGCATATTACATTATTGGTCACCACAAGTCCTCTAACACCATTCAAACGAAGGATGTACGTATTGTTACCAGTCGCTATAAGTCCCTGAACACCTTTGTAATGAAGGGTTATATGTGAGATACTTTTTTTGTGAAGATGTATAGTCACTTATAAATAAACGTCAATATGTGTGTGTCTGTGTATCTGTTCCTTATAGGTTTCCACATTTTTTTATCAATCAGCACCAAACTTGACACAGTGATACAGGATGACATGAGGAAAGTGATGAGGGGGGTTGACCCCCATAAAATCTTATCTAATTTCGGAAAAACTACCAATGCTGTATATCCTTCACATTAGAATGAACTATGTAATCATTATTGATAGAATTCTTGAATTTAAGAATATAAGAATTCTTTCTTTTCAGTATTGGTACCTTTATGTATTATTATTGCACTTTTAATGCTTAATATGTCAAGTAAAAGAAAAAATAGAAGCACAATGTCCTATCCTTTGTTATAAACGAGGTTTTATATTACCCGTCTATCGGAATGGTACTCCAGCTATCTATATAAATAAACGTCAATATTTGTGTATCTGTTCCTTATACGTTTCCACAGTTCTTGATCAATCAGCACAAAACTTGACACAGTGATACAGCATGACATGAGGGGGGTTAGACCCCATCTAATTTTGGAAAAACTACCAAATCAACATAACTTGACACAGTGATAACAATGACACGAGGGGGTTGACCCCCCATCTAATTTCATATTGATAGAATTCTTGAAAACAGTATGTCTTTCTTTTCAGTATTGGTACCTTTATGTATTTTTATTGCACTTTTAACGTTTATTTTGTTTAAAAAATAGAAGCACAATTTCCCATTCTTTGTTACAAACGAGTTGTTATTTCACCCATCCAAAAAAGGGTACCCCAGCTAGTTGTATATTAAACTTCATTTGATGTGATGGTAGATTATTATGAAGCACAGGCTAACGCATGTAAATCACAAATCTGTAAATAACATGTATACATAAATACACACACACACTTTCCCCACCCCTAACGATTGTCAAGGGGAATTCAGATTATAGATAAAATCACAACAAAATATACAAAGTTAACCAATTTTAGTAGATTGCAAAGTCTTTATACAAATCATAAATCACAGAGAGTTTAATTCGGTTCTTGGAAGATTCTTTCCTTCCTTATTTCATCAGTAACGACATCCATGGGCTCTAAAATATACAATTTAGTATGAACGTGTTGTATCCGTTTGCTATGAAATATTTATTATCCAATTATTACATAAATTATTGCAGTAACCATTAAATATTTACATAATTTAAGAACAAAAGCTGCGATTTCATTATTAATTTCCCATGTTGGTAAAAGGGAGAAAATTCACACCATTATGAACCAAAAATATGTAGATGAACTTCTTCAGCGTATTTCCTGTATCTGTTTTTGTCTAGTTCGTGTATGGCCGTAACCATCAGGATGGGTCGTCACACCTCTTCAGTGTCAGGTAGCTGGAGATTACATGCATCGGACAGTTTGTTTGTTTGTTTTGAATTTCGCGTAAAGCTACACGAGGGCTATCTGCGCATAATTTAGCAGTGTAAGACTCTTGGGCTACTCTTTTACCAACGAATAGTGGGATTGACCATCACTTTATAACGCCCCCACGGCTGAAAGAGCAAGCATGTTTGGTGTGAGCATCGGACAGAAAGGGTCTGTTGGGTAACCTGTCCGAGTAATGCGAGATACCCCAGCACAATATTCATAAAACATATAAAAATACTTCATTTTAAAACATTATCACGCGCCCCCTAGCGGCACGTCTGTGGACTTACAACGCTAGAAACCGGGTTTCGATACCCGTGGTGGGCAGAGCACAGATAGCCCTTTGTGTAGCTTTGTGCTAAACTCGAAACAAACAAACAAACTGTTATCGTTCATTTCACGAATCAAAACGTTAGGCCCTCTCTAGGAATATTACGTTGTTTCATTGGTATCCGTTTTATTACCGTTTAAATAAAAAGAAATACACTAACCTGTCTAAAAATAATGCATTTATTCAACTTTTTGTTGACTTGAATACAATAGTTCAAAAACACAAATGCCCATTTTAATAAGCACACCTTTAGAGCAAAAATCTTGTTTAGTTTTTTTAACACAGAAACTGGTAACTGTCCAGCTATCGTAAGCTGATAAAAGTACGGATATTCCTAAACACCGAGTTGTTTTCATTTCCACAGCTTTAAAACATTGTCATATAATCAAATTCAGTCCTTCTTCTCGTTATAACTTCACATCGCAAATGTTTTTCGCGTTCTTACAATTATGTAAATTTATCTGAAAAGCTACGATGATTCTTTCTGGACAGTTGAAATGATTACATGAAATACGGGGACAGTTTTATCACGTGCTGTGTGTGTGTGTTGGCATCTTTATACTCTGTACGGGACTTGGCACGAATCACTAAACATACACCATCAGTCTAACTGACACTGGTTCGTTCCCTCTAATAAAGCTTTTCTCCTTACTTTCTGCCATTCTGGTAGTTTCGGAGCGCAGTGCAGGATGGGATTTCCCAGCATCCTTCTGCCCATGAAAATGAAGTCTCCAATTCCATGTTTAGTGCCACATTTCATCGGCCTGTATAGTACGGCTTCTCGTTTTTCTGTAGTTTCTGTGTTTACGTCATTTGTTGTTGAAACAACAGGCGATTCACAGTCACGGTACACTTTGGCAACTTGGATTGTCAACTCTGACAGCAGGAGGGCGTCTTGGTTCTGAAGACCACTAATTGTGCCTTGAATAACTGTGGTAAAAAAATAAAAAAGTTAGATCACTCGCTTATATCTTACCAAAAATGTGACAATTCTATTAACAAGTCAAGTGTATACCCCCCTTTTCTTCTGTTATTGTCATCTACTAATAGTGATCTCTACTAGTAGTCAATGTACTTAAAAATAAACAAACGGAAGTTCCTAAAACAGCAGCTGTGGGAGTATCTGGCAGTTACTCATTTCTTTAGGTTCATTCAAGGAGACTGAATAAATCCTGTCACATTTTAGTGTATTTTATTAAGTACTATGTTTAATGTATTGCTTTTGGATTATTCAAATACATCGGTAATAGCGTCAAAATTTAATTGTTGGTGAAACCCTCCGAAAAATGTAAGCTATTCAGGGTTTAAACTAGCAATCGCTAATTTGCCATAAACTATTCAGGGCTTAAATTAGCCATCGCTAATTTGCTAAAACGCAAATAATACGAAGGAAACTTTGATATTCAAGTTTAAACTGGTATACTTTTGTAAAAAGGAGGGCTAGTACTCAAGAGGCCTAGGAAAAACGACCAGTTGAGCCTGTTACACGTGATTAAATACAGTTGAGAGTTGAGCTTGTATAAATGAATGATGAAACACGCTCAAAGCGAGCCAATGCGATTGAGTGGGAAATGAGTGTTTGAATAGGTAAAATGCAGGGGAAAAAAAGTCTCTCTAGTGTTCATTAGTGCTTATTAGTTGATATTGTTCCAACATGGGGAAATGTAGTAACCAACTTTCTATTCATGAACACTGCTGTAGGAGCAAAACACCCAACATTCCAGCATTGAGTGGTTTAATAATAAAGGAAAGTGGGCAAGACTAACAGGAAAAGACAATGATCTGGGGCAGGATTTTTGAATGATTTGTATCATCTAGAGACAAGCTAATGATTTGAATTACTTGTATCATCTAGAGATAAATTAATGAAGTTTTGGGGGGGGGGCAGATTCGGTTTACTGATGCTGAGGGGATAACGTTTTTTGGTTATAATTATCTTAATATTTCTGTTAAATACGAGGTAAGAAGAAGTAACGTACCACCACCATTCTTTTCTCAAGTCTGGTATTTACAGTTGTCCTAGGACATAATGTCAATCTGTCGCTAATTGGCCGTAGCTCATGTTCTGTTGTATTTGTGCAGGTTGTTGTGATTCTTTACTTCAGATTTTCAACGTATGACAAATACTAAGTGTTTCATTTATATCTAAATAATCTTGATTCAAATGGAAAAGATGAATGGGGTAAGATCAAGAAAGCGTGTAAGATTAATGACACTTTAAACAATTATTGAAACAAACTAAATAGAGAGAGAGAGAGAGTTAGTGTATCATAAACATGGCTAAAATTAAAATAATGGTTAGAGACATCATGGTAGTGGCGTAAATTTTTACAACCACGTACTTAGCTTTAAGTTCTGCTATTACAAGAAAACACACACAACTAAACATAGCTAGCTCCGACATACGAAACACGGCTTCTACTGACGTCGTCAAAGGTTGATGGCACGTATGAACAAGTTTTATATTTAACTGTGGTTTCTACTGACGTCGTCAAAGGTTGATGGCACGTATGAACAAGTTTTATATTTAACTGTGGTTTCGACTGACGTCGTCAAAGGTTGATGGCACGTATGAACAAGTTTTATATTTAACTGTGGTTTCTACTGACGTCGTCAAAGGTTGATGGCACGTATGAACAAGTTTTATATTTAACTGTGGTTTCTACTGTCGTCGTCAAAGGTTGATGGCACGTATGAACAAGTTTTATATTTAACTGTGGTTTCTACTGACGTCGTCAAAGGTTGATGGCACGTATGAACAAGTTTTATATTTAACTGTGGTTTCTACTGACGTCGTCAAAGGTTGATGGCACGTATGAACAAGTTTTATATTTAACTGTGGTTTCTACTGTCCCCTAATAACTAATATCGGTAATTTTTAAAACACGCAGTATTTTTTTTAGTCTCTCTTTACGCACTTCCAAAAATATTGTTTGTTTGTTTTGAATTTCGCGCTAGCCGTCCCTACTTTAGCAGTGAAAGGGAAGACAGCTAATCATCACCACCCACCGCCAACTCTTGGTCTACTCTTTTACCAACGAATAGTGAGATTGATCGTCCCATTATAACGCCCCCACGGTTGAAAGGGCGAGCAGGTTTGATGGGACGGGGATTCGAACCCGCGACCCTCAGATTACGAGTCAAGCGCCCTAACCACAGGGCCATGCCGGGCTCCGAAAACTACGAGACGTGTATACGTTTACAAAGCCAAGTCTTTATGTATATTTTTATCAATCACAAGACGCCAGTACGGTTACAGAGACAAGTGTTTCGCTGAAATGTTTCATCCAACATAACTTCACTCACTAACTTACAGTTCTAGTACACAACAGAATAAAGAGGGGTAATAGTTTGTAAAATATCTTGTTCAACTTCTAAATTTAACACAAGTTGATTTTAAAAATTCTGGAATAATAAAAATATTTTTCATATCCTTTTTTTGTTTCTCACCGAGACTGCGACAGATTACAAATGTTTTACCCCCGGGGAGATTGTTCCTACTTGATAATCCGCGGAATTATATCCTTTAACTAAACTGCTTATTACCGGAAAATGACTACATACTTTGGACAAATTCTTTTATGTCTGAGGGTCGTCGCATAGCTGGAAAATAAGAGATTTTATCTGTGACATCATTTGCTGGTTTATTGTCCTGCGTATAAAATATAATCTTATACTATTATATACTAGCTGAGACCCGCAAAACATTTGCTGTCTTTATTGCAACATAACTTCTTTAAAATACCGGATTTCTGGATTAATACAAAAGAATTATAATTACAGATACCGAAATCTACAAGTCCACTTGTCTTAAGCCTAATATTAGTTAAGCCTTTATTAAGTACGGTCTGTATTCGATAGAGATAAATCAACACCGTAGCTTGTGTACGTTTTTTACTTTAGTTTAATTAGGGCTAAACTTCGTCGCACTTAATACTATCAATAAATAAACTTGTAATGTTATTCTATGACCCAACGTTAGGCCTTTATGAAACATTTTAGAAGCTTTCGATTAATATGTTATTGTACAAAATGTCTAATAAAGTATACTTACATCCGTTGAAATGAAGTGCGCGCTCTTGCGCATTTAGATGGTAAGATGTGCGCGCATTTTCAGGACAGACAGAAACTGAGTATTTTTATAATAGATGATAGATGCACGTGTAATACCGTGCCTCACCCTATATTTCAAAAACATTAAAGAGAACATCTTAGGGTAATGGTTATAATTTTCACTGTCGTGCACAGCTATTTATACTTTTTTGCAGGAATGTAAATATTTTATTACCTAATTTTAGTTGTTTTATCACTAATTAATCACGCCTCGCCCGGCATAAGGCGTTATATTCCATAATATATATTTTTTGAAATATTTTCAATGCGGATAATCTTGAGATACTTGTTTGTTTCGGATACTCGCGAAAAGCTACATAAGAACTATTTGCATTGGCTGACCCTAATGTTGAAATGATAAACTATAAAAGATGACGACTGGTCAACAGCAGCCACTGCAAACTCTTGGGCTACTTTAATCGTATACTTTGATTTGACCGTCATACTTATAACACACACACACATACACAGGCCTAAAGTGCAGAGTGCAAGTTTGTGACAATGGGACGCGAGCCATGAACCAAAGTAGATTTTATATTTGGATTTATTATTAATTCCCACCAACCACAACCAAACTTCATAGTTGAGAATATTCAAGCTGAATTGAGGCACGGATGTAATAACAACAAAATTTTAACAATGATCTTCTTTAAGTCTCGTACATTGTTGGAGACGGCTTCCTTTGAATACTATTAACGTTATTTTGTACAGTCATTAAACTTGAATTAAAACTACAATATACGCCAAATTTTTTATTGTTCCAAGTTACCACAAACCCCTGTTCCCTAAATCAAATTGTTACGTCACCAGTCTGTCTGGCATGTCAGTTTAAATGTTTAAAATTAAACTTTCAAACACGGCTGTACAAGTGAAACTGACTGCTCTAATGGTAGTAATCAGTAGTTTATTGTAACGATAACAGATCACGATCAGTCGGCATAACGCGTTATATATTACAATAATTGAAATATAACAAAGTAAACTTTGACAGAGCTGTTAGCTACGGTTCTGTATTACTCATTCCGACTACATCTGCAGTACTCTGTCACACTATAATACAGAGGACGGCAGCTGCTACATTGTGAATATAATAAGAATATACACTATAACTGCTACATTGTGAATATAATAAGAATATACACTATAATACAGAGGACGGCAGCTGCTACATTGTGAATATAATAAGAATATACACTATAATACAGAGGACGGCAGCTGCTACATTGTGAATATAATAAGAATATCTGCAGTCCCCTGTCTTACAGTGTATATTTTTATTATATTCACAATGTAGCAGCTGCTGTCCTCTGTCTTACAGTGTATATTCTTATTGTATTCACAAGTAGCAAACTACAAAACCCGATGTGTTCCTGTAGCAACGAAATTTCTTCTCAAAATTGCTACGCAAAACGGATTGCACGCGGCCAGGTCTACTGACTCGGGCTCAAATTAATTACTTCTCTCGAGATGAACGAAGCTACGAGAAGACAAGGCTGTACGACACTAGTGATTATAAGACTACATGCGAACTCTTACTTGCTAATTTTATTCCACGTACGTCCTCATCAGACAGGTGGCAAGGTGTTATCAGTTTCCCTTTACTGTCTACACACCTCCCTTACCCGTAGTTACCGTTACAGTTTAATATGCGTGTCCTTCTAGCCCTAGCTACCGATCTAATCAGACCTTTATAATTACGCGTAAAAAATGGACAAGCGATACTAAGTAGACACTAACATTTATATATATTATAGACATTCCGCGTCTCTTTATTAGAAGTCAGGGTTAATAAACATTCAAGCAGTTTAACCAGTTTT